CTCTACATTTGTTGTTTTGAGTGCTGGCCTCTGTATTATGAATTACCATTTAGAGCCTTTTGACTTATGACAGGATTATATCCCAATTTAAACTTTGCAGGTTGAGGTTACATAAGTCAAAAAGCATTAATTCATATTACCTACAAAAATCCTGCTTAGTAACCAAGTACACCATAGTCTCAGGTTGTTTTCCCCTGTGATATTGTGCCTGACTGATTGCTGCACGTATGCAGCATTGTGGAAGAGTGTGATAACATATGTTACTAATGTGAGTAAAGCAAAAACAGTAGAGTGCAATTTCCTTCATATGAGTATTGTTCCATCATAAAAACAAGAAATCATGTCAAATCATCATATGTTGGGATCTATCTGAATACTGTGTCCAGAAAGCCCTTCTCTGAAATTATCTTCATCACTAAAAGAGCACAAACCCATACACACATATGCACAGACAGAGAGCACACTGTAGATATATTATGTTCATCTTACCCCAACTACATTATTAGAAATAAATTGATATGAGACAAGTTATCATCAAATTAACTTTTTCCTAAGAATATAGAAATAGAATCTAGAAATTCCAGTTCATCAATATCTCATCTTGTGTAACTATGGGACCCTATATTGTTATGGGCAGTATCTGTCCTGTTTTTACAGAAGCAAATATATGCTCAGAGAATAGAGGAGGGGGATTATATGGAACTGAGTGAGGAAAAGTCCTAATAAGCACAGGTGGTCCCTGAGAGACAATAAGGAAGAGCAGGCTTCCATCTTTCTGGTGGAATTCCAATTCCAGGTATATGTCCATGATGTCCAGCAAAATAATAAAGGTCAAAAATACATTTGTACAAAAGAAAATTTATGTTATGAGGAAACATACAGTCTGAAAACTACAACAGAAAATAAAGAGCAAGCTTAGAAAAGAATCCAACAATTCAGAAATAAAAATGTAGAATGAAGAACAAAATATTTTTGGCATTTTTTCATGAGACACCAAAAAATTACCTTCCCTGTGGCTGGGGTACATTCATTTGACCAAATGGTCTTTGTATAATTTAACATTAGATGAGAAAGTCTGCTTTCTCATTGTTCCTGTGAGGTTCTTTCCTTTTTTATTCTTAAGCTTAACATTTAAATCTCTTTAAAACTATTGCCTCAATTTTTAACTGACACAGTAACTTTGCATATTTTTGGAGTACTGTAATATATTTCAATTCTTTTAAACATTGTGTGATGACCAGATCGGGATAACTGACATTTCAATCACCTTAAACATTTACTACTTCTTCATGTGGGAAC